ATAAAAATAAGAGTCTTCCCTAAAACATTGTTAAACTCAAAGGAAAAGAGAAATGTACCAAGAAGCATGAGGTCAGGCTGGGGGCGGGCACTATGTGCACTGGGAAAAGGGGAAGTCAAATGACAAAACACCAAATATTCTTGGCTCCTATGAAAAGCTACTCTGTTCATTTACCCGGAAGACCCAAACAAAAGCAGCTGCCCATTTCTCTGTTTCAGTTTCCTGAATATAACTGGATCACCAACTGGCATCCATTGTCCCAGGCTCGCAAAACAATGTCCACCAGCATAAATCCGTCAGCTCTGGTACACATCCAGAGAACTGAAAAAGAGCTCCATGAGAATAAATGGGTGTTGTATGCCCATTCCCAATGACCGATGCTGCAACAGTGAGACCTGTGTGCAGGAGGCAGCCCCACCTCCCAACATTGAGGCAGGCTCCAGCCTGTCAAGAAATGCATCCCCCGCAGACCAAAGTGGAGAAGGGCATCCTGCTTGTGGCTGTCTCCTAACAGCTCACACATCTGCAGAGTGTCTGCAGTCACCAGGTGGCCTCTGGTGCCCAAAGAAACATCCCAGGATGCTGAGTGAGAAATACAGAGATCAAACCCCCAGGGTGGGAAGCCAGGAACAGCCAGGACTATCTTCCCACCCACTTTTTGGGCAACCCTCAGAGGATGGCAGCTGCTAACTTAGGGGGAAAAAAGTGCAAGGTGGAGGAGGCAAAGGGATTATTTTTAAGAAAGAGCACAATCTAACTTTTCTCTCCACCGCCCACTCCACACCACCTCCTCATTCTCTGGTCCCTCCTCCCGCCTGCTCTTCCAGTTCACTTTGCTTCCCCAGCCTCTCTCCCCACTCACACACATTTCCTTCTCCAAGTGCCCAGCTGGGACACTGGCTCTGATTCCACACTGGGACTGCAGCTGGGCAAGGACTCAACTGCTGCTGAGCTCCGAGGGGGCATGAAGCAAGCTGGCTTCCTCCTCAGTGCTCCAAATGTGGAAGAATCCAACCACATGCACTTTGAGAAACCCTGCCTTGATACCAGTGCAATAGAGAAAATAAAAAGATCTCTGTTCTCAAGTTTAACGAATCTGTTAATTAGGCCATCTTCCTGATATGCCTAAGTAATGGAAGATATGGGGTCTATTGCAAGTCAGAAATGCCTTTTCTTACTCAATTCTTTGCCTCTGGAATGTGGCTCTGCAACAGAGTTGCTTGGGTCTGTGTAGAACTGTGAGCATTTGTAAGTGTACAAGATGAACCCATGTGCCCTGAGGATCAATTTCTTCCACTGCCTCTGGGTAACAAGTACCTTCACACACTCAAGAGTCATCTACTTAGACTAAAAGTACCACTGTGGTAATAGCTGGAATAATGAAGTAATTTCCAAAGTGGAATAATTAAAAGTTAGTCCAAGATGTTACATGGCATAGGAGGAAGGCCAAGCAGGGAAATAGAAAGCTGTATGAAAAGTTTAAGACCAAAAAATCAGCCAGGTCTTTATCTAGAATGTGGGAAATATTTAGACCGATAAAAACAATGTTTGTGATTTCCTCTTCCATATCCATTTGTCCAATTATTCTTCAGTGAACTTGCACTGGGCACAGATTATGTTCCAGGCAATGTGCAAAGAGCCAGAGATAACAATGAGCAAAACAACATGATCCTTGCTCTTGAGGAGCACACCATCCAGCATTACCTCCAGAAAAAAACTGTAGGCTCCAAAAGCTACAAGTTTCAGCTCCTGTGAGAAGTTCAAAAACAATAACATTAGGGCACTTGCACTAAAGAGAGCAGTAAAGAAAGGCCTCTCTGACAAGGTTGAATTTAAAAGCTGAAAGATAAATAAGGAGAAAAGCTAATCAGGACAAGAACAGGTAACTGTTCTAAGAAGACAGGCTCCCAAAAGTAAACACCTTGAGCTAGAAAAAGTTTGAGTATCAAGAACTAAAAGTGACTGGAAAAAAGGAAAGAATAGCAAAAGGTAGGACTGCTGAGACACCGTGGGCCACGGGGCCCAACTAAGATTGTATTCTAACAGCAATAGGCAGTTTCAGCATGGTCTACATCATCATGTTGCAACTATGCAGAGAAAAACTTCAAAAGCAAGGCCTGTTCTGTTGTGTAAGCACAAGATGAAAATTTCCTGGACCCAAATGAAGCAACAAGACTGTGCGAGGATAGACAGACTCATGGTTTAGAAGCAGGAGCAACAGAAATCACTAGAAGGATCAAAGCAAAAGCAAAAGCAAAAAAATAAAAAATAAAAAAGATGGCTTACATCAAGTTACCATCCACACAAGAGTTGCCTGAAACTTTTTTCAAAAGAAAATATAAGCACCACAGGATGTACCTGTGGCCCATGTGGAACTACTACCTACAGGACATGTTATGTCTACAGATACCAGTAACTCAAACACCCTTGGTACAAGAATAACAGGAACTATGCGTGGTGTTCTTGAGAAACTATAGTGGCACATTAGGCTGATACTTCTCGTGACTTCTTTTCCTCAATAGTCAGGTTGGTGCCAAAGCTATAGGAATAATTGCTTTTCTATATCTGGGTGTAACAAGTCTGACTTTTAAGTAAAGCTACACCAGATAAACCAACTACTTACTAATCTCTCTAGTCACCAAGACAAACAGCAGAGAAAATAAGCATAGCTTGCTAAAAGACCCTCATGTCAATTTGGATGCCTCATGTCAATATCTCAAAGGCATATTACAACATCGCATATGACCAGCAAGAAAAAACAACCATGAAATGCAAATTTATAAATAATATTATGATATTCAATCCTTAACAACTTTCTTTCCATAGAACTGCTGGGAAACCCAGCACACAGTATAAGTAACATCTCCCGGGAGGAGATCTCCAGAGTTTACCCTCAATGAACTGCCTTATTTTACATGCTGCACTCCAACTGGTCCCCAAATGCCAGAGAGCAGCACTTTCCATGGCTGACCCATGGCAGATTCAGTGTCTTTCTGAGCTGTTCATTCCTGATCACCTATCTACATGGGCCTGACACCACCTCCACTGCCCTTCCTGAAAAGCTGGTACATGATCAGCATATAAACCCCTTGGGCCAGCTGTCTTGGGAGTTTCTTTTTCAATACTTGTTATGGAACTGCATGGGGAGAGGTAACTTGTGAGAGAAACGGTGATGAAGCAGAAGAGCACAATCCATGTGCATGGGAAGAGTGGAAGAGGGTCTCCTTGACACTGGCTCAGGCCCTGCTGAAAACAGACAGTAAATAGAGATAACCTGCAGTAATTTATTTGGAAAGTGATGTTATCTTTCATTCCTCCAGACTATTAACTGTGGCCTTTTTTATATGCATTTCAAGGGCTTTACTCACAACAGATCCCATAATTTTGTTGACACATGAATGGTTTCTTTCAGAAAGATTTTCCCCTGACAGTCCAACAAAAAGTATGGAACTTCAGTCTTCTGCCCTCTGTTCCCTTCTAAGTCTCACATTTAGTCTAACAATTTTTTTGTTTAGTGGTCCATCTCCCAATTGTCCTCCAAATCTTCAATCTTTAATTCTGTAAGCTACCTGCTCAGTTCCAATTGAGGAACTGTAAAAGATTCCCATCACTACACTTCATGCCTGCTTTCATCTCATTCTGAAGCTCACTGTTCAGCCCCCCTGAGCCATCCCTTCAGATTTGGCCTGTCATCACCAGCAATGACAAAACTCAGCTTCATCTGCACTACGCTTAATACATCTTACTCCAGGGCCCACATTTCTGCAACTGCAGCGAAGAGATAAAGAAGGCACTAAGCTCTGCCCAATGGAGAGCTGTCGCTGTCTGGCTCCTCCTGGGGAGTCCCTCCAACCTGGCTGATAGTGAAGTGATTGTGTCAGCTTGAGTAAGGAACACCCAACTAAATTGGACTAGCAGTTCTGGGTGTGGTGAAAGGATTTACTGAAGACAGAAGCCCCAGCCCCGGTGTGTGAGTGGCACTAACCAATAGGCTGGTCGCCTGAATGGAATAACGGAAACGAAGAAGGAAGGCTCATTTCTGTTTCCTCAGAGGAGCTCCAGTCTTCACCTTCACCTTGGACTTCTCTTCTGGCTTCCAGGGCAGACCCTTCAGCCTCCTGGTTTGGACTCGCACAGGACGCTACAGTGAGCTCCAAGCCTGTGACCTTTAACTGGATCCTTCTGCACTCTTCACACCTGACTCCAAGGGCAGCCATTGTAAGCCTACCTTGTAAATCCTTACATATTTATAGTCTTACATTAAATCTGTTTCCCTAGTGAGCACTGCCTGATACACTGGCATATGTTTCTACTCCACTTATTCATTCTTACTCAGCCTCAAGGCTACCCATATAGGCAAATATTCTCCACATTAAAAAGAAACAAAAAGTAACAAGCATTTGCCTACACACAATCCACTCTATCACTTGAGTCCAGAGGTATTCTCTGACCTCTTTTTGCTGTTAATCTCATTTTTAACAATACATGACATGTGCCATGTTCAACATTTCAGAAACTGTCACCACACGTTCCTCTCTGAATTACAGGAAGCTTCTCCATTATTCCTTTTTAAATCATTGACCAAGCCCATGAGCTATTCAAATGTGACCTGTGACACTGACATGTACATACACTTTCATCTTAACCTGTTGTCTCAAGAGAACTTACTTCTAAGCTGGAGTCATCCAAAAAGCTCTGGAGAGCCTTCCAGTCACTGCTGATTTCTATAGTTCGATGCCACCGGAAACACTGTGCCCTGTTTTACTTGTCAAACTGTACACACAAAACTCTGCCTAACCTTTGTTAGATCTCTTCTGATCAACTCAGACTCTTGTAGTTGCCACCTACATCAGCCTTCTGCACATCTCCACAAACATTATCCTTTAGGGCAGACTGCCTTGGGATTGCTGTGTCTCTCCATGTTAGCCGGAGAATTCTGGAAAGGGTTGTTCCCAAGGGTGGGGAGCGAGGCAGAGAGGGCAACTGCCCGGAGTACTCACTGAGTGGTTTCAGGATGCTACTGCTGGATTCATCAGCATTTTCCACATCTGATTTGTCAGAGTAGTTCTCAGAGATCCGCTCCTTTTCCTTCTTTTCCTTGTGCCCTGTCTTTCTCTTGTGACGTCTCCTTCTGCGGTAGCTCTTGGGCACATGGACTCCAATGTAGATGGTGTGGTGGCCTAAGGAAGATATATACAAATCACCTGTCATTTCAGATCTCATTCTCTGCTGCACACAACTCGCACAAGATCCACAGGTCAGAGGAAAAGTCTATGAACTCAACATTACCATTCTATATTTGAAAAACTCACACTGCAAAAATTGAATTTCTTCTTAATTTTTTGTTAGCTACAGTGTAATTCAACATGTTACTGGATACTAGGATTTTGTCAGGGTACACAGTGGTTCTGTCAGGTTAACTAATTTTGTTGAGGATAACCAAAGGATACAGAACTAGAAATCAGGAATCCTTGATAACCTCTACCATCAATTACCCCTACAACCTTCAGCTTGTTTCTTATCCACTCTGGGCCTCAACCTCATCATTATCCAATGAGAGCTTTAAAATGGTGGAGCCCGGAGGCCTTTCCCATTCTAACCTTCCACAAGTCTGTCACTATGTTGATGAGGGGGCTAGAAAAGGTGCTGTTGAGGCTGGAAAAATAAAGCCATCCCTCAAAGTTCAAAGAGTCATTTTGCTGAGGATAAGGTTTAACGGTATAACTTTTTTTACCCAATCAGCAGAACAGAGACTTAGAACTGGAACAACTGAGAAAAATAAGACATACTTGGAGAGATTTTAGAAATACTCAAATGATCACACTAGGAAAAAGTTAAAATGAATGTCAGCTACAGTGCCATTCTCGTTTTCCTTTTTTCGTTTCTAAAAGTTTCTAAAAACTGGTTGTTGCAATGATAAAAATAAACTCAGCCCGGCAAAAATTGCCTTGAAGAGAAGGGCATGAAGAAAAAAAGATTGTGAAATACTTTCAGTTCTCTAGATGGAAGGAGCTGCAAAATTGACAAGTGGCATTATTTTTACAAAATCTGGTAAGACCCTAAAAACAGGAATACGAAGTTCCATATATTTTTTTAAAAACCTGGAATACGTTCACTTTCATTTTCCATACAGTGTAACTTCTGAATGGGGGCTCATCATTTCAGAAGTAATATGAACCCTCCTTTGATCTGCAAATTAGATTAGATGCTCTTGTGTACAGGCTTCATTTCTCATTTCTAGATGTGCCCCTTGATGACACTATACAGACCTGCCGGTAACACCACATGCCTCAACGTAATGCATGTGCAACACTACTCCACTATCAATCTCTGTGGACTATTTCACAGTCACTTCTCAGGCCGCTTAGAAAGCACTGCCCTTCAAAGGGATGTTCCCTTAAATTGGCAGGGATAAAAAGAATTATAAGCAGCTTCAAGCAAGAAATTCCAACAAAGGGTGAACCCTAAGTGAATGAGACAGTGTTCAAAAGGCAGCACAGATACTTGGAATACAGTTGGAGGTAACTTTACATGAAGCAGAGCTCCCCACCCCCAACACACACACACACGCACGCACGCACACACATACACACACACATGCACCACAATTTGCCACTACAAAGCATGGTAGTATTCTCTCCACAGAACATGTGCCAATGAGAAATTTATCATGTCGAACCATTTGTAAGCAAACTGTTCTCATGGGAAATCTATATTATGCTAGGAAGTAGGAAATGTTTCAGAAACAATGTGAATTAAGAAACAGTGTCAATTGTTTCCTGCACTCTTGTTACTGAGGGAGCCTGCAGCTTTATCTCAAGTCTCAACAACATGAGTGTCCAGAACCCACCAGTGCCTTCAGTAAACCAAACCCTGAAAGGTTCATCGCCTTCCTTCAGGAATTACAAGAACACCTCTCTCTCTCTCCCTCTCTCTCTCTCTCCCTCTCCCTCTCTCTCTCTCCCTCTGGA